TACAATAAGAATAAAGAAACTACAACTCACAAATACATATTAATGAAAAGAAGCCAGACATAAACTAGTACATGTTTATGGTTTCATTTATATAAAGTTCTTGCAGAGTAAGAGAATGACTGAAAGGAACAGGAAGGCACTGTTTCTTTTAAAAAAGGAAGACACTATAAAAACAATATCAGCAGAAATAAATAGTGGGTGGAACTAAACTGTGTCATAAGTGACACAGTTGATGTACATGCTAGTGAAAACTCCTTGTCTTGACCTGGACTGGAAGAAGCAGTGTTGTAGAGACGAAGAAAAGTGAGAATATGCTAAAGGTCTTTGGGTTAAGTTAGAGATACTATTTTAAACTACTTTAGGGGGAAAAAATAGAAAAAAAGGACAATTTAAATAAAAATAATAAAATGGCAGAATAAAGTCCAAGTATATCAATAAATGCAAAATTAAAAGCTTAAACTCACTAGTCAAAAGAAAAAGACAAATTGAAAATGTTAACAAAATAAACTATTTGCTATATATCAAAAAGGTTGATAGTAAAAGAAGGGAAAAATACAAATAAAACTGGTAAGGTATATTAATATTTGGGAAAAAAGTATGAAAACAAAAAGCGTAATTAGAGATAGAGAAGATCACTAAATAATGATGGAAAGTCCAATTTACAAAAAAACCAAAAAATTCTGAACAGGTACACACCTAACAAAATAAGCCTAAAATTTCTACAAAACAAAAAATTCACAGAGCTTCAAAGCAAAAATGGTAACTCCAATATCACTGTAGGAGAATTCAACACACTGTTCTCAACTTTTGCCATGAATTCTCTACCCCTTCTCAGACTTTGTCTTCTCCTTAGATCAGAAACACCGTCTTGTTCCAAAACACAGAATGAACGTTTTTGTTGTTTCTCATACCATGTACATAAACCTACTGAACGAGGAGGAGACTCGTGGATCTTAAGGACTAACAGTCAATCCAGATGCATTCTGAACTCTTTTAGAGAAAGCTATTTTGTGATTAAACAATAAACAAGATTGTTAGCCTCTAAAAACTGTCGGGTACTAAGTGGTTTATTGCTGCTCTCTGCTGGACACCGTGTTCATTTGCACGTCAATCATGTTTGCCTAAAAGTCCTAGTAAGATAAAGGTCTTAAACTGTTAACTTTTCTGAACCTCCTTTATCTAATGAGATGAAGATACTCTCTCTAAATTAAATGTTTGTATACAAGGTGTTAATCGAGGTTAAAAAAAAAGCTTTGTGCTATTTAAGCCTCTGGTAACAATGATTTTTTTTTTTTAATAAATGGTTTATAGGAGTATAGAAAATTATACTGCCTGAAATCCACTTGGAAATTAATATATCCACCAAGACTACCAATTTTCCCATACAACTACTGGAAAATCATATTTTATATGCTGAATAATTGCAATGAGTCACTTTAAACATACAATTATACTTTACCTATATGGCATATTATCCACATTACTTGCTGTGTTTCTTAAAATATGCACATATAAATTCAAGGTAGGTCTTCTAACACTTGCCCATACCTGGTTCTCTTGCCTTCCGGGCACACAGGAAGATTATGCTTCCTGTCCCTTTAGTACTTAGATGGGACCACATGATTAGTTCCGGTCAACAGATCATGAATGGAAGTGCCAAGTGTTACTTGCAGGCCAATGCAAGTAATTACATGTGTGAGACCCTCTGGCACTCTCTTCCTCTGCCATAGTGACAAGAAGGGACCTCAAAAGATGATCAAGCCCCAAAATCAAAGCAGCTTAGATCACTAAAGGCAGCTGCCCTAGAAAGCTGTCCAGACTCACCACAGACCTTCTAAGAGTAAAAAACAAACCTGTATTGTGTTATCCCACTGAGAGCTGGCACTTCAATGTTACCTCAGTAGAGCACAGGCCAAGGTTTCTCAACAGCAGCACTACTGCCATCTTAGGCTAGATAAATATTTCACTGTGGTCTCTGTCCTGTGCACTGTGGGATTTTAAACAACATCCCTGCCATCTACCCACTAGATACCAAGAAGCACTCATCAATATGACAACCAAAATCACTTCTAGTCACTGACTTCCTCCCCACTATCTTTCAGAACCACTGGCATAGATTAACCTACTAATACAGAATGTACATATGTATGTACATATGATGAATATATATGTAAACATGTTGAGTATATTTAAGTCAAATGTCGTATATTCTCATGCTTTATTTCCTACTAGGGTCAGATATTTTGTAGGCTCTTAAGAAACATGAATTCCCATTTCTCAAAGCAATAAAGTTAACTCAAGAACTTTTTAAAAAATCAATCATAGCACAAGTATCTCTATAATAGGGTAAACAAAATATTCCGGCCGGGCGCGGTGGCTCAAGCCTGTAATCCCAGCACTTTGGGAGGCCGAGGCGGGTGGATCACGAGGTCAAGAGATCAAGACCATCCTGGTCAACATGGTGAAACCCCAT